TTTGTTTACATTTTATGGTGTCAATGAACCCATTGTTTACATTATGAGGTTAATGACCGTATTGTTTACATTTTGCCTAGGTCAATGAACCATTTGTTTACATTTTATGAGGTTAATGACCCTTTTGTTTATATTTAGCAAAGTCCACAACCATTGTTTACATTTAGCCAAGACAGCAACCTTTGTTTACGTTTGCGGTCACCGACCCTTTTGTTTACATTTTATGGTGTCAATGAACCCATTGTTTACATTATGAGGTTAATGACCTTATTGTTTACATTTTGCCTAGGTCAATGAACCCTTTGTTTACATTGTATGAGGTTAATGACCCTTTTGTTTATATTTAGCAAAGTCCACAACCATTGTTTACATTTAGCCAAGACAACAACCTTTGTTTACGTTTGCGGTCACCGACCATTTTGTTTACATTTTATGGTGTCAATGAACCCATTGTTTACATTATGAGGTTAATGACCCTATTGTTTACATTTTGCCTAGGTCAATGAACCCTTTGTTTACATTTTATGAGGTTAATGACCCTTTTGTTTATATTTAGCAAAGTCCGCAACCATTGTTTACATTTAGCCAAGACAACAACCTTTGTTTACGTTTGCGGTCACCGACCCTTTTGTTTACATTTTATGGTGTCAATGAACCCATGTTTACATTATGAGGTTAATGACCCTATTGTTTACATTTTGCCTAGGTCAATGAACCCTTTGTTTACATTTTATGAGGTTAATGACCCTTTTGTTTATATTTAGCAAAGTCCGCAACCATTGTTTACATTTAGCCAAGACAACAACCTTTGTTTACGTTTGCGGTCACCGACCCTTTTGTTTACATTTTATGGTGTCAATGAACCCATTGTTTACATTATGAGGTAAATGACCGTATTGTTTACATTTTCCTAGGTCAATGAACCTTTGTTTACATTTTATGAGATTAATGACCCTTTTGTCTATATTTAGCAAAGTCCACAACCATTGTTTACATTTAGCCAAGACAACAACTTTGTTTACGTTTGCGGTCACCGACCCTTTGTTTACATTTTTATGGTGTCAATGAACCTTTGTTTACATTATGAGGTTAATGACCTTATTGTTTACATTTTGCCTAGGTCAATGAACCCTTTGTTTACATTATATGAGGTTAATGACCCTTTTGTTTATATTTAGTAAAGTCCACAACCATTGTTTACATTTAGCCAGACAACAACCTTTGTTTACGTTTACGGTCACCGACCCTTTGTTTACATTTATGGTGTCAATGAACCCTTTGTTTACATTATGAGGTTAATGACCTTATTGTTTACATTTTGCCTAGGTCAATGAACCCTTTGTTTACATTTTATGAGGTTAATTACCCTTTTGTTTATATTTAGCAAGTCCACAACCATTGTTACATTTAGCCAAGACAACAACCTTTGTTTACGTTTACGGTCACCGACCCCTTTGTTTACATTTTATGGTGTCAATGAACCCTTTGTTTACATTATGAGGTTAATGACCTATTGTTTACATTTTGCCTAGGTCAATGAACCCTTTGTTTACATTTATGAGGTTGATGACCCTTTTGTTTATATTTAGCAAAGTCCACAACCATTGTTTACATTTAGCGAGACAACAACCTTTTTTACGTTTGCGGTCACCGACCCTTTTGTTTACATTTATGGTGTCAATGAACCCTTTGTTTACATTATGAGGTTAATGACCTTATTGTTTACATTTTGCCTAGGTCAATGTACCCTTTGTTTAGAATTTAAGAGGTTAATGACCCTTTTGTTTATATTTAGCAAAGTCCACAACCATTGTTTACATTGGCGGTCACCGACCCCTTTGTTTACATTTTATGGTGTCAATGAACCCTTTGTTTACATTATGAGGTTAATGACCTTATTGTTTACATTTAGCCAAATACACAACCTTTTTATGCATTTAGCCAGTTGGCCTCCAGTGAGGTCACCTCATGAATTTTAAAACAAATAACAGCCCCGGCGTGATAGTCACCTGAGCATTGGCCAGGCACGGTGTCTGCTTTACTTATGTAGAGCGAGCTGGCAGGCAGGTTCTCGTGAGGTCAACTCATGACTTTTAAATCATATCAAATCGAGGCACGAGACTCACCTTAGCGCTGTCCAGGTACGGTGCCTGCTTTACTTATATAGCGCCAGATGGCAGCCAGCTTTCCGCTAGGTCACCTCAATGCTTTTAAATAACATCACATCGAATCACGAGAGTCACCTTAGCGCAGGTCGGGCACGGTGCCTGCTTTACTTATGTAGAGCGAGTTGGCAGGCAGGTTCTCGTGACGTCACCTCATGACTCTTAAATCATATCACATCGAGGCACGAGAGTCACCTTAGCGCTGTCCAGGTGCGGTGCCTGCTTTACTTATATAGAGCCAGATGGCAGCCAGCTTTCCGCGAGGTCACCTCAAGGCTTTTAAATAACATCACATCGAGGCACGAGAGTCACCTGAGCGCAGGCCAGGCACGGTGCTTGCTTTACTTATATAGAGCCAGATGGCAGCCAGCTTTCCGCGAGGTGACCTCATGACTTTTAAATCATATCGCATTGAGCCATCGAGGCACGGTGCCTGCTTTTTTTTTATAGAGTCAGGAGCCAGCTTCCGCCGAGGTTACCTAGTGACTTTTAAATTATGTCACATCAAAGTGTGTGAGTAACCTCAGCAGAAAACGTATAACTATTTAACCTTCCCTGATGCAAGTTGTTGTTGCGTGATTTACTATACATTTTGCTTCGGCAATTCGACAGCCATATTGACTTGTGATGCTGCTTATGCTATTTGATATTTATTTAAGTATTTATTTAGTATAAATTTACTTAACTAAAAAAATTCAATAATAATGTAAAAAAATGCACATAGCATGCATTAATTCTCTGGTTCGCTCATCAAAATTCGCTGGTTGATGATGTAAACAAAGCTCTAATTCTATAGATTCCTTGCTGCTAAAAATCAAAACAATGTTAATTTTCCACGGAGTTGTGAGATGAATCTTCTTACTGAAATTTTTCAAATGTTCGCTATCGAATCTTCTCATTCTTGTAAGTTCTCTGTTTATACGTTTTCTGCTAGGTTCTACATCTTCTGTATTTGGGGGTTTGAGCAGTTATGGTCCGATTTTGACAATTTTTAGAATCAGATAAAATTTAAAGTTGTATGGCGAATTTCGCCCATATTTACACTGTAACACACAAATGTCAGGATAATGTCACCAACGAATTTGGATGAAATTGGTTGAGTAGGTTCGGAGGTATGGGTTTCATCTAAAGTTGAGCGCTGACACACTCATCGTCCGATTTTGCTACCGGCTTCTTTTAAGACGTCTTGTACCATTTTGGGTGTAAAATTTTATGTCTCTGACACATTTATTTAATGATTTCTGGCATTTTTAGTAGTTGGTAACATAACCGTTATATGGCGAGTGGTGTGGTTTATTATACGGTTTTACCTATTCTTACAATGTCGTAAGAGGTGTCAAAAGTATTTGTCCTGTGCAAATTCGGGTGATAAAGCTTGAATGGTTTGAAAATATATATATTAAACTTATTAGGGTTGGGCACGTCCATTTATTAAATAAGTTTTAGCTCAAGGGTACTTCTCATTAATGCGATTTGTTGGTTATTCGTTAGTTTAGTAATTTATAGGTTTTCGATTATTGGCGTTTTGTGGGCATGGCATTGGTTCGATTACCTCATTTAAAACACCGTCTATACTTCTTATGATGCCACGGAACGCGTGTACCAAGTTTCATCACTATATCTTTAGTTTTACTAAAATTGCTACGATCCATCTGGGATGGACGGACAGATATTTCACCGGATTTTAACTCATCATCCTGATTATATATTATATAACCCTAAATCTATCTCGATTAGTTTTAGATAATAAAACAAACGTTAGTTGAACAAAACTATTATATTCTGTAGCAACATGTTGCAAGAGTATAAAAGAGAAAAACATAAATAAATTAAAAAAATTAAAAAAAAATGAATAAAAAAGAATAAATTAAATAAAAATTTAAAGAAAAAATTAAATAAAAATTAAAGAAAAAATTAAGAAAAAAAATTAAAAAATAAAAAAAAATTAAAGAATGAAATATATAAAAAAATGAAAGAAAAAAATATATAAAAAAATGAAAGCAAAAAAAAAATTAAAGAAAAAAAAAAATTTAAAAACAAATAAAAGAAAAAAAGGATAAAAGAAGAAAATAAAAAAACTAAAAAAAAAAAATTAAAAAAAAGGAAAATAATAATTCAAAGAAAACAACAATTAACAGAAATTTATTAATTAATTTCAATATAAAAGCAAAACACTAATTTTTGCAAAAATCTTTCTTTATTTTAGTTTGCGTACGCTTGCGCGACGATATTTTTACAAAAATTCACGCAATATTATTCATTCTTTATTTTTCATTTAAATATTATAATGCAAAATAAATATATTTATATGTATTACAAAGGAGTTATATAAATGAAATTTTACACATTTATTCCTACACGACGTTAATGTAAATTGTAAGATAATTGCATAGTAAATGACTCACTGCCTAAGTGTTAGGACCGAAGGGTTATACAATCATACAAAATATGTGGTAAGTAAATTTTTCTTTGTCCAAAATTAAAGTACATAATATCTTGTACAAATGAATACAAATATAGCAAGCTTGTTAAAAACACTTCGTTGAGCAAAGACAAAAAAAAAAAAAATAGACTGTACTATAGAACTTAATTAGTGGTAGCAAAAATGATAATACAAGTTTTAGACTCTGTTTTTGGCAGCTGATAAGTTAGTTTTTACAGATGAGCGTATTTGATACACGTTGGCGTTGTCGGTGGGGCAATGTGTGACCGCCGACATAAGTACTATTTAGTAATGCTGTGTGTTTGTGTAGAAAAATGCATAGAAATATCTTTGGAGCCGACAAACGACTTGCTACTGCTATAGTATATCATCTTGGAAAACGTCGTATAAGTAAACAAAGCAAACGGCGGCTAAAGTGTGGTTAGTCATAATCAATAAATATAGTCGTTGCGTTTTTCCGCTCCTCCTTAATTTTAAGTTTTGAACTTAAATAGTTTCAACTTCCCATACTTTGGTATTGCAATCTTGACCAGTAGAGATCACAGTGTTGTTGTCCAACCATACTAAGCGTGTAATTTGCGATTGTGGATGAGCATCTGCAAAAAAAAAAAAGTAATAATAATAACGATTTTAGCTTGGCTTACAAAATTAAAAGTAGAAATGCTCACTTTTAATGATGGTGTGCTTGGCCGGATTGGCTACAGACCAAATAATAATGGTAGTATCCAGTGAACCACTAGCAACTAAAAGCGAATTTGGTGACCAAGCCACGGTATTGACACGCGCATTGTGGAAGCCCCATTCCTTGTTGTGCGCAAGCTAAAAATGGAACATGAAAATAAGCACAAATTACATAAATAGCCGTCAACTAATTTACTCACATTATACTCTTCGACGGCATAGAGTATGACTTTGCGATTCGCATCGCATGCCACCAAATACTTATTGTCTGGTGAGTACGAACAATCGGTTACCGGTCCCAGGTGCTGCAGTTCGATTTTCTTCCAACGTGGTGCCCTTAAGTGTGTAAACATGCACCTTGTGATCGTCGCCGGTCACTCGCTACATCCAATGTTTCGGGGTTGGCAGAAATCGAGCTTGCCTCATACTTGATTGGTAGTGAGAAGACCTTTTTATTGTCCTGTACAAGTGTCAGTTCTTTGACGCAAGCGAGCGCGATTATATTTTCGTTGCGGAAAATCGATAAACCACGTGGTTGGCAATTCAGTTTGACAACGTAGTCAGTATAGCTGTTGCTTTCAACGCTTATTTGACGCAGGCTGTCATCGATGCCGCAGGTGTAGACGAAATCGCCCCAGGCGACAATGCCGTTGATCTGCAAATAAGAAGAAGAAAAAAGTAATGTTAAATGCATTAAATAAATTTAAAACAACAAATACTTTTAACGTTTAGATTTACCTGATTACCATGTCCGGCGCCGCTAATGCGGTCATTCACGCCACTGCCCGAATTCCAGTTCGTTACTACGCCATCATGGCTGCCCGTATAGATGGTGCTGCGATCATCGCTCAAACCGAGTACAGTGATTGGCTTATTATGACCCTTAATTACACGCAGTGGCTTTGACGGGTCATCAACATTCAAATAGCTAATGTTACCCGACAAGGAGACGGTGAGCAAATGTGCGCCTTGCCATAAGCAAGAAACTTGTTGATCATCAACGGTGGTGCCCATTACAAATTCGGTGATCAATTCACGTGTTTCCACATTCCACAAGCGGCAAGTCTTGTCACCGGAGCAGGTAAGCAATTGTGTGCTATCGGGTTTCCATGCAACAGCATAAACGCCACCCTTATGTGCAGGACTACCGAATTCGCCAATCAAATCGGAGTTGGCGCCATCGTAAAGGAAGACTTTGCCATCGAAACCAGCCGAGGCGAAAAATTTACCATCAGGTGAATAACGTACAGCCTGCACGAAGCGCGAATGCTCCTGTTTGGTCATTTTGAATTTGAATGGCGGACCCTCAAAGACGCCAATGGTGTTGTCTTCGCTGCCTGTTTTTAAAATATGTTATTGTAAAAATGAATAATTGACAAACATTCAAAATTATTTTTATTTACCGGTTACAATACGGAAGGGACGTGCTGGACGAAAGTCGCAAGAATTAATCGGTTTCGATTGACCGCTAATTTCACCCACTGATGTGCCGGTTTCGGTCATGAAAACATGGCCGAAACGTTCACGACCCTCGCCCACAATAACAATACGCTGATTGTCTTGCGACCAGGCGATGTCTTTAATAGGACCGCCAATAGGTTGGAATTCATTCTTCAAGATATGCTCCTTGTTCACGGTATCCCAAATGCGTATTTTGCCGGAGGCGTCTGTAAGAATATGGAGTAATATTTTTTATTCGAAAATGTTAGCAGGTTAGTTTGAATTTGTAGGTTTATAAGCAAACATATAAAATGTTATTCTAGTATAACTTAATCGTTTTAACGTTGTTTGTTTGAAAATTATTTGTTCGCTTGTTATCTACCTATCAGTTTACCGCGTCACTGATAACTGTGCTATCGCCGCTATAAAGAAATCGAAAATGCAAAAATATTTTTAACGCTCCTATATGATTTTTAATCTTGCATTACTTGCATTACGCGCTTATATGTATGTTTTTATCAAACCACCTAACGAGACCAAATATGGCATTAACTGCAATTCTAGGAAAATAAATATTTAAAAGAGAAATCAAAGCGCAATTAAAGTCAATTGAATAAGTGGAAATATACTGTTAACACTAATATTCTAACTGTTCAAATTCATTAACTTTACAAATACAAAAGATTCCATACAAGGACTGGATTTTTATCGATCAGTTTGTATGGCAGCTATATGCTATAGTAGTCCGATCTGAACAATTTCTTCCAAGATTGTAGCGTTGCCTAAAACAATAATACATGCTGAATTTCGTGTAGATATCTTGTTAGATAAAAAAGTTTCCTATACAAAGACATAGTCGCGATCATTCATTTGTATGGAAGCTACATGCTATAGTGATCCGATATCGGCGGTTTCGACAAATGAGTAGCTTCTTGGGGGGAAAAGGAGTTGTGCAAAATTTCAGATCGATATCTCATAAACTATGCGTATATACAAACAGACGGACATAAGCTAAAGCTAAAAAGCTAAACGGAGCTAAATAGACTCATTTATAAACATACATATTTTATAGAGTCTCCGACGATTTTTTCTAAGTGTTACAAGTTTCCTGGCAACTTGATATACTAGCTTGTTGGGCATAATTAATCAGTAATTCAATATAACGAGAGGATTATGTGTATATACATATCTATGTGTGTATGCTTGTGCAATTGCTTCAAAGTTAATGTATATACATATGCAGTTACACATGCTATTTACCGTTACTTTTAATGTTTGTGCTCATACTCAACTATGTTTAACAAAAACGTTAACTAAATACTTAACCGTAAAATGGCAATAAAAAGGGAATTGATGAATGAATATGGCTAATAAAAGCGTTTAATGGTTGAGCGCATATTAAAGCTTTGGAGGGGAAGGGGGAATATAGAAAGTAGCTAGGTACAACAACCGCTGAGCTGCGCGTCAATGACTCACTCATCAACAAAAACCCGCTGTTCAAGCACAACAAAGATAAAGCAGCCAATCGAAAGCATCATCAGCCAAAGAATGGTGGCTGTTGTTTCTGCGATGTCTAAGTGCCGCTGCGACGCTGTTACATATAGACAACACCAACTGTTATATGAATGCATGAGTAGCAGCAAGCGTTTTATGCTGGTTAAGCACAGTAATGCAAATACTAGCTATGAAAATATAAAGGAAATGCAATTAAATCGCCAGAGACGCGTTAATACCCGCAGCAGCATACATTTGGGAGAGTAGCACGTAGTTCGCGCACAAAATAAATGCACAATATGAATCGTATTTAAAAAGTGAATAACAGATTTAAAGTTATAGTGGCGACATAGCATTCACTAAATTTGTGAAGGTATCATTTGTAGAATTGTAGTAACAAAATACATATTACTTTCAACTCAACTCAATTCGAAAAGAGAAAGGCTGATGCGGTAATGATTAGGCGTTGAAATATAATATATAAACAAAAGTAGCAAATGTGTTTATGAGAGCGTAACGACTGCCACAACAATGAAAATTAAGATTAAAAATCACAAAAAACAACTAAAATACATACACACACAATTCAAAAGTAACTGTTAAATTTGATAATATATGCATTTATTGTGCTGAATCATTGAAATGTTGGAAATAAATAAATAATAATTGATATAAATATGTAGTTTAAAGCTTAAAAAAAAAAACTGCTGTTGACTTTTAACATTAACGCCGTAGAATTTATTAATTTCTGTGCACGATTTCATGTTATGGAGGCTTAAAAAATTTAAAACAAAAAAAAAATATTTCCGCAACCTGAATTTTATCAGCATTTAGGTATATGCTTACATTTACCGATACAAGCGTGAGTCACACACTTATTTTAGTGCAAAAATTATAATTATGAAAAGAAATGCAAGCAGTGTAACCCAAAATAAGGTGTTAACCATGCGAAGTTGCACATTAATTATAAGCAGACTAAGTAACAGATACTAAAGCAATATAAAACAAATAAAAGCATGTAAAAAAAAACAAATGACAAACGAAATATATAATCATAAAACTGGTTATTTGCTAGCAACATTTATAATCTCATTGTTGCTTTTATTATTTAATGATCAATGCGGCTGTGATGCTTTCAAACCAAATGGTATTTGAGAGCTATTTATAGCGCATACATATGTACATAAAATGTGCACTAAACCAACAAATATACACATTATATACCTTACACTAACAATAAAAATATATGTCGATGTAAATGTGTGTTTATAATTTTATCTATATGTATTATGTACTTACCGCCTGATGCAATGTAGAAGCCGCTTGGCGAATATTTGGCCACATTGACGGCGCATGAATGCTCCGTGTAGACATCAGCGATGGCTGGATTCTGCCAGCGACAATCAGTGCATATAACCGTAGTAGAGTTGAAGAGAAGTGCACAAAAATAAAATATAATAACAACAACAACAAATGTTGTCAGTGGAAATTTTGTTGGTTGATAGAATTGGACAAATGGAGCGGCAATTTTGGGTGTATACACAGCATTGGTTGGTTGTATGATTGAGTGTGCATGCAAAAGCCATCCGCACATTTCATTTTAATTTTAGGCCAAAATAAGTGTGTGTGTGTGTGTAGAGCAGCAAATCGGAGCAAATAATATTAACGTTGAAAAATTAGCGTTGACAATGGGTTCGTTGTTGTAAAAAATTTAATGCAAGACGTTAACAGCCGATGTAGAGGTATTGAAGAAAGCATGAAAGTAGAATTTAAGAATTATGAATTAAAAATTGTATATTAACGCAGAATATTTTAATAATATATTATATTTTCACACATATGCACAAATAAATAAAAAATTATACTTTAAAAATTTCATTAAATATATGGACGTTTCAAAGATAAATATGCAGATTATATTATATATTGTTTAGTATGCTTTTTCAACAGACAATAAAATATCTATTTTTTCCGTTTTCTATATATTACTTATTTACACCAAAAATATTATTCGTACAGCAAAATTTCAAGCATCTTGCAGTGAACATTTGTCTACGATGTGCGTGGGATTTAGTGAAACAACATTTATTTATATACACTTATGTATATGTATATAAATAAATTGTATATATTCACTTTATATGCATACATATATACTTTATTCCCAAAAAATGTTTTGTTTGTCTTTGGGTTGCTTTTATTCTTACTTATAGGCTTACTGCAGAAGAAGAAAATTTGTTAAAAATAGAAGAAACAAACAAATGAAACCGGGAGGACCATTGGAATCTGTATTGGAACGTTTGGCAGCGAAGCGTTTAATAAATCTTCATTCAAATGCAGCTGCCAGAAACCAAAAATAAACATTGAACACATAGTCGCAATGAGGATCACTAAATTTGAGATGGGTGTCGGAATAGCAAAGAGCTTGTGCATAATAAGCATATGTACATAATAAAAATGATGCTATAAATGTATTTGTTGCAACAGACAGACATATTCCATGTTCTTAAGGAGATATGTAGCTTATAAAACTTACTGAATTATGAACGATCGATAATATGCTAGCGTAATATATAAACTACAAAATATTCTAATGAAACATTTGAATAGGAATATTAAACTCACCTCAATATTTCTAATAATCACCGAATTTCCATTAGTGTAGAGGAAATTTTTACCTTTAGGATCGCCACCTAATACAATAGGTTGCCCACGTTGGGTGCGTGGCAAGGTGGCATATATGAATTCTGAATGGGATAAGCGCAATAAAATAAATTTAATTAAACAGCTTATTTAAGTAGTTTATTGTTTATGTGTACTATAATTAAACTGCATAAACAGTGGGCGCTCAACAGGAAGTGGCAGATTCAGAAATGTACAAAACACAATCATAGTGATACACATACGTAAATACACAAATATATATGTATGTTTTGCTCATTTCTCGTCCAAGGATAGCGAGGGGAGACAAATCATACTAGCAAAAGCCGGCTATATGTCTATTTATCACTCGTCTACAAATAAACTGTTGTAAGTAATTCATTGCTTCCGCTTTATGTTCGTAAGTGTATTTGCATTAATTTTTGCCCATATAAGCACATATAGTGCTTCATCGTGATATGTTGTTGTCGCCACTATAGCCCCCCAATCACCGATTGCGCCCACTGACTCATACTTTTTTCGCTTTATATGTTTTTTTCCGTAAAATGTAACCGGCCAACTCACTATTTTGATACGCTGGCTTTTGAGGTTGTGCCATTGTTATTATTTTGAAACACTAAACTTTGGTTTATTGAACGCACTTTATAAAAACTAAAACTGCTCTTTGTTAGAAAAGTTATATTTTTAAGCTACTATTTCTCTGTGAAAGAATTGATACCACCAAAATTAGACCGAACAAAAGTGAACTAAATTATTCGCCTTGCCACAGTGCAGTGTTGCCGAAGACTGATTGAATTCTACGTGAAGCAGAGTTGCCTGATAAGAATTCTCAAATGAAAACGACAAAAACGATAATATAAATAAAGTCTTATTTGTTGTAACTATTTGCCGCTAGATGTCACAGCTACTTAGCTTGATTGCAACGAAATTTCGACTAGCATTTTAAAAAGCTGTTTTAAACAAAAAAAATTTTGTTTTCATTGTTATAACAAAACTTTTTGTTTAAAAGGTAAAAAGTGTAATTAATCAATTACTCTATTTAATTATCTCTACCCACCACTTTACTTTCCGAAAGCTTCCTATGCGATATCGTTGGTCAGCTGTTTTTGACACACCGATTTGTTTATAAAATGGTAAACAAACTAATCATAAGTTTTCTGCACTAATATTTCATTTGAGAATGTTGCAAACATCTGCTGTTAAATTTGTGAATCCACGTTATGGGCAACTGGTAATTGGTCCACCTGGTTCTGGTAAAACAACTTATTGCCATCACGCCTACAATTTCTACAAAGAGCTGGGTCGTGAAATTGGCGTTGTCAATCTCGATCCAGCGAACGAGAATATGGAATATAAACCAATAATCGATGTAATGCAGCTTATTACAGTAGAGGATGTTATGGAACAATATCACCTGGGTCCAAATGGCTCCCTAATGTACTGTGCAGAGTTTTTGGAAGCACATTTCGAAGATTGGTTTTTACCAGAGCTGCGTAAAGCAGCTGCCACATGCAACTATTTCCTCTTTGACTGCCCGGGACAAGTAGAATTGTACACACATCACACTGCTATGGCTGCCATCTTCGCGCGTTTGCAAAAGGAAGGTTATCACTTGGTTACAGTAAATCTTATCGACTCACACTATTGCTCGGAGTCTACAAAATTCGTTTCAACACTGCTGCTCGCCTTAAATATGATGCTGCGTATGGGCTTGCCACATGTAAATGTGCTCTCAAAAGCCGACCTCTTGCGTAAACATGAATCAAAATTGCAATTCAATTTAGATTACTATACAGACGTATTGGATTTGAAGTATTTATTAGAATCGCTTGACGATACACCAACAATGAAGAAATATCGCAAATTGAATGAAGCAATCTGCTCGATGGTGGAGGATTATGCATTAGTATCATTTCAACTGCTCAATGCGCGTAGCACAGCGAGTTTGCTACGCTTACGGAATCACATCGACAAGGCTAATGGTTATATATATAAGGCAGGCGAAGAGACGGCGGTTAATGCGTTAATGGCATGTGCGGTTGGTGCGGAGGCTGAGTCTATGCGGCAAGCACATGACATTGATCCGTATGTTACATGAGTTGGATGTGACGTTTTTGTATATTTAATATATTAAATAAAAATAATGCATTTTTGTATTGTACATATATTGAGTTTGCCATGAAGTTTGTATCATCCAGAAAGAAACGTCGGACATTTTTTAAAATATATATATAAAAAATCAGCTTGAGGAGCTGAGTCGATTTAGTAATGTCCGTTTGTACATCTGTCTGTATATACGCGAAATAGTCGCTTAGTTTTTGAGATATCGCTCTAAAATTATGCGCACGTCCTTGCGCCCTAAAAGCTGCACATCTGTCGGAGACGCCAGTAACGTGTCACAACTATAGCATATATCTGTCAAGCAAACTAAACGATCCAAATTAAGTTTCTGTAAGAAAAACTTTTTCATTTGACAATATATCTTCACAAAATTCGGTATGAAGTATTGCTCAACACAACGCTACAATATGCGAAGAACTTTTTCCGATCAGACCACTATAAAACATAGCTGCCATACAAACTGAACGACCAAAATTAAGTTTTTGTAAGAAGCTGCCATACAAACTAAACTATCGAAAGCAAGTTCTTATATGGGAACTTATATACAATATTTGTGAAGTGTATGCAGGCTTTGGTGCAACCGAAGTTAACGTTTTTTCTTGTGCTCTAATCAAAAGTAGCTTGATAATATGTATGGTAAATAGATAAATATAGAATAAAGATATTACAAATTTAAATTTCAGATTTATCAAATTATTACTTTTTTTTGGTTTTTGGTATATTTGTATGCTGTTGTGCGTTCTATTGGAAGTTCGTGTTTTACATAATTTAGTTTTAAACTGGAAAATTTGTTTTTAAATTTGTCAGCGCCTTCCAATCAAACAGCGTTTAACATTCGTTGCAATGCAATAAACAGGAAAACACAACCATTAAATGTAATCAAGACCAAGCACGTCAAAAAGTCAAGCAAGTGCATGCAAGACATGCTAAAATGTAAATATGTGCCTTGTGGACACATAAACACAGCTGAATTTTCATTTTTAGCAACAACAATCAACCACACAGGCGTTCATACAAAAAAGCATAAACACGTTAGTAAGGTGTGGTAGTAAGTACGGTTATTTGAGCAGCTATGTCTTGAGTTGCAGAAAAGCCAGTAGTGGTTACATATTTACAAATGTAAATGCTTATATAGCATCACATACACACATAACAGAAAATGCATGTTTTAACATTGAATATGTTGCATTACAACAGGACACACCTTTCAACGAGTTGACTTGCATGCATCTAAGCGTCAAGCGGCGTCAAGTCTTTGAAGCCACACGCCATCGCTTACACTTGGTTTTGTCGGGCACATTATCATTTGTAAAATCAAGCACCGCCAGCGTCATAATAACAATAAAATGGGCAATATGACTCGTTGCCGACTTTAACAAAGGAAGTGGCCAATGACGTGCATTAAAACACACACATAGTTAAAAAAACATGGCAGGTTAAACCCCTTCATTGACTTGGCTTGTCGTCGTTGAATCTCTGCACCTGACAGTGACTTAAGCTGTCTTTCACAATGCATATTTATGAACACTGTCTGCGCCTTCATGCGCCATACTTATGTGTATATATATATATATATATATATATGTGTGTGTGTGTGTATAAATAGCTTCCATCACGCAATTTGGTTATTAAATTCTTGTTGCACATTCAATTCAGCCTTCCAGCTATGCATCAAGTTTATCCACCTGTCGCCTGTTTGATTCACATTCATTGCATTAAAGCCGATATTTAAATGTAATACAACAACTACACCAAGAACAATAGTAATATGTGTATATGTATAGTATGTGTAAGGGGCGTTGCACATTCATGTCGGGGGTAAAGTGCATAAATATTATTTAAGTGGCAAATAAAAGTTGAACAACTCAACGAATATAATTGCAACATTTCTTAATTGCGCAAGATTACAAGCGGCCGCAATATACTATATACATATTTATATATATACCGTATATGTATATACATATTAATATTAGGGTGGGGACGAAAAAAAATTTTTTTTTTGTTTACCTGAGGGTAAAATTTGTAGATTATTAGAAAAGAAAATTTTTGGAAAATGAAACAAATTTTAAAGTACTAATTTTAAATTTCGAGTTAAAATTTTTTATGGACAAATATATTTTTGGACTTTTTGGTTTAAACTCTTCGCATTTATATAAAAAGTACCGAATTTAACGGTTTTTGACTCAAAATTTATTTTAACGCTTAAGGAAAGCATGCTGTCGTTTAAAACGTTTTTTTAAAACTCCAATAATGACAACAAAATTTTTTTTTAAGCTGATAACTTTTAATCGGCCAGAAAGAGTACTCTCCACAGCTTCTAGAACACTTAACAAACATTTTTTTCGAAATAAAAATTTTAACTCGAAATTTACTTTAAAAGTGAGTGGGCCTCGAGATGTTAAACAAATTTTTTGTCCAAAATTATTTTTATTATAATCCACAAATTTTACCCTCAGGCTAAGCAAAAAAAAAAGTTTTTTTTTCGCTCCACCATAATGTATATGTGTATGTATGTGTATTTGTAAGGTTGTGTGCGTGTATTTGCTTATGCAAATGCAGTTTGTTGCACTTAATGAAATAAACACTGACACGTTAAAGTATTTTGCTGGAGCAAAGTGTGCGCCTGGAAATATGCAATGTTTTTGATAACTGCAAGGAGCCAAATATATTATAATCTTGTATTAAAGCAGCGCGTGTATATTTGTGAGTAAAACAAGAAAAAAATGGCTGCAACGTAGCTATAATACCCCTCACAGTTGCATTTATTATAGCATTAAAGGGTATAAAAAAACTTTATCTGTTTTTAATTGGCCGATTTGTATGACAGCTATATGCTATAGTAGTCCAATTTGAACAATATGTACGGTATGGTATTGTAACTTAGCCTTGGAAAATAATTTGTGCCAAATTTTGTTAAGATAATTTCACAAATAAAAAAGTTTTTCATACAAGAACATGATTTTGAGCGATCCCTTTGTATGTCAACTATATGTTATAATAGTCCGTTAGCGGCGATTCCGACAATTAAGCAGCTTCTTGGCGAGAAAAGGACGAGTGAAAAATTTCATATCAATACCGCAAAAACTGAGGGACTAGCACACATATATACAGACTGACGGACAAACGGACTTGACTAAATCGATTCAGCTCGTCACGCTGATCATCTATATATTTATATATACTTTACAGGATCTCTAACGTTTCCTGTTGGGTGTTACAAACTTCAGAGGAAACTTAATATACCCTGTTCAAGGTATAAAATTGTTAAAAACTTATAAAGGGTGTTTTTTTTTAGAGGTATAGAACTTTAAATTGCAATAAAACAACGATGGCTTATTGGAATGACATAAAACATGAAACAAACCAAACTGAGAATAAATCACTTGGCAGCTGTTAAATCGGTCGCCATCTTGAACAGTAAGGCCAACTTAAAGTTCTATGCCTCGAAAAGAAACACCCGTTAGTATTTAAGAAGTAATAGTTAAAATATGTCACCTTATTGTTGTTGCAGCGAATTTTAAAGTTGAATGTAGCTGCCGAAGTCACGAAAATTAAAAAAAAAATTTAATTTCCAAAGTTATAGCTGTCTGTCTTGACCCAGTTCCAAAAAAAGGTCCTTGCCGTGACAATCATAAGTTCTTGAAGATTCATCTAAAATCAATCGGATAAAAAAATTAGTGTTAAAAATATATAGTCCTGGTCCTGATCGAAGCCTTTTTTGCAATAATTAACAAAATTGCGGACTCAGGAAACTTGTATCTAGATTTTTGGGAAAAAATCAATTGGTCTTAAAAATCAAAAAAATTAATTGAAAAAAAATCCTTCGATTAGGCCCAAATTTATTATGCTCTAAAAGCTGTATAAATTTCATTAAAATCTACAAAGCTGTTTTCTACTTACAATTGTCACCAGTTCAAAAAACATATTTAAAGTTTCTTGCAGCTGCCGCTGGCTACCTGCTCCTGAGCGCTTTTGTTATTTGTCGAATAACTCAAAAAGTAATTATCGGATCAACTTGAAATTTTCAGAGTATATTTTCAAGATATTACACTTAACGAAAAATTGATTTTTCGAAAATTCTGACTACCCCTAACCCCTTAAGAAGCTTGATGTCGCCAGAGCTGAAGCGAAGCTTTTCCGGTTCACAAAAAAGTATTGGAAGACTCAAATATTTACAATTTGCTTTGGTCGGTCTTTGAATTCACGATCTACTGCATGATAGTTGCTTACACGATAAAGATCATAGCTACAATGCAAGATTTCGTCAACACTTGCTTCACGTGACTTCCTGGAGCTTTTATGACAATAGTTTTTGATTTATAACAAATATTTGTGGTCGTTTCGAGGTCAACTAATTAGTTGTATAATTTGGTTTTACATACACTTGTTATGCTTTTCGATATGGATGGTCAATAGTACTACTAACGAGCTCCATTTTATGGGCTCCACCGAGTTTTTGTGTTTTTTGGGGAAGTTACTTTAGATACGGTGACAAAAATTCTCAGTTTTACGAACTGCGAGTTGGAGTTAAAGCCATTTTATATAATAAAAGAGGCAAGAGGCTGCCTAAGTCTTTACTTCAGAGAAAAGTTTCGCCTAAAAATAACAACTTAATGTAATTACAAGGCTAATAAACCCATAAACCTTCGTCACACTCAAAATTTGTGTGTCAGAATGATTATAAAGAGAGATTTGAAAAGAAAACCTCATTTAAAAAAGTGTTGGCGAGTGGTTCATAAATGAGCCGAGCCGCTGAAGTCTTGTGAACCCATACGCGTTGAAATAAACGGCATTTCTTCGCATTTGCTTTGCTTGCCTCCTTAAACTCACAACTACGTTGGCAGAAAGACTTCCGTCTCAGCCAACTCATGATATAATTAATGAAAATTAATTAAAAGCATAAATTTCGCACTTAGCCGCTGGCGGTTTTGCAAATAACTTGGTAAACAACAGGATATGCAACAACAAAAAGCAAGCAAAAAATTAAAACAAACAACAATGCACATAAGCAATAACAATAGCAAATTGTTGCAACGC